TCGATCTAAGTTAAGCAACTTCAGCTACGTGAATAACTTAGCTGAAGTCGACGTACTTAGATCTACTTACCGCGGTGTCTTCACTGTGGTAAGTTGACAACTGACGCTCTCCCATCGACTCTGCCTGCACCTCTCGCCCTGGTGGAGTACCAGAGTTGACATGGGAGAGTGCTCAGCAGTCAATTTATCGCGTCTAGACTAGATGCGATAAATCGACCCCCGCTGGATCGATCACTGCCCCTTGATCCGGCAGGCAATGTAGACAAGCCCAAAGAGTACGGAAATCCTGGCACAGACATTCCATATTTACCCACAGTGTGAAGATGTAGACATACAATATAAGAAAGAGACAGTCACATTTTTGTAGTCTTGGTGCCATTTCAATGACTGACCCTGAAGACAGCAGATCACAATGATGGGATTCACAAGGGGGCCTAACTACCAAAATGTAGTTCTGGGGAAGGGAACCCCAGTTATTAGAAAGAGACAGGCAATAGTAATGGGGGATTCAATTATTAGAAATACAGATAGTTGGGTTTGTGATGACCAGGAGAACTGCAGAGTGAATTGCTTGCTTGGAGCAAAGGCTGCGGACCTCTCAAGACATCTAGATAGACTTATGTGCAGGGCTGAGGAGGAGCTGGTGGCAGTGATACATGAAGGTACTGTGGAAGCAGAGAAAGAACTGACAGGAAGGGGATGCAATGCATGACAGTTCGTTAGCAAGAGTCAGGCTAACTGTAACCCTAATAACACGAGATTTGTAGAAGCGAGGATTGTGTGAAGTGAGTGGGAAAGAACTGAGTGAGAAGTTGTTGCAACCTTGTGTAGATAATGTGTAGAAAATATTGTATGTAGACTAGAGTCAAAACAAGTGAGAAAAATAAGATATCAAGATGGCCTATGTATAAACAAAATGCAGCTGTTGCTTATTATTGTCTGTAATGAAAGGTATAAAGGTTTGCTGTAATTGTTTACCTGTAGAGAGACCTATTTAGCTCTCTCCCTCTAAGCAATTGTTAGAGAAAATAAAGTATCTGACTTGCTGTACCCAAACAAAATGAGGGGGATGAGGGGGTTGGATAGGCATGGGAGTCCCGGGGGGCCTGTCTGGAGGCGTGGGTGTGGATAGGGTCGGGGCAGGTCAGGGGACAGGGAGCAGAGGATGGTTGGATAGGGGGTAGGGTCCCGGGGGGGGACAGGTCAGGGGACGGGGGGGGGGTTGGAGTGGGGTCAGTAGGTTCTGAGGGGGGCAGTCGGGGATGGGGAAGTGGGAGGGGACGGAGTAGGGGGTGGGGGCGTAGGG